TGGATGGAGAATGTTTCTTAGGGTAGGCACTACAGCAGAAAAGGCACGCCTCCTGGGCCCTACCAACCGGCATTACTTGGCCGATGGGACCCAGAATATGCCCTTCCTGCCAGACCAGATTGGATGGGTAGAAACAACCAGGGAAAGATGGTTCCTCAAATATCCAGATCCCACACCATGAAGGGCTTTAAAGGTGACAACCAGCACCTTGAATTGCACCTGGAAGCACACCGGCAATCAATACAGCTCACGGAGTAGTGGTGCTACGTGTGCCAAGTAAGTGGCACTATTTACTACCTGTGCAGCTGCATTCTGCACCATTTGGTTTCCAAATGCTCTTCAAGGGCAGCCCCGTGTAGAGTGCATTGCAGTAGCCCAAACAATCTCTCTGCTCACACCAGGGGAGACAGAGCTAAAACAACCAAGCACCCAAAAACAAGGGTAAGCCCTAACTCCCCCTTCCATCTCCCAACTGGGGTGGGGGGAAGGAGGAGCTATAAATCCCACTGCCAAAACCAGACTAAAATCCACCCCAACCCAGACTGTACAAAAGATTGCGGTCCAGAAGTCCATTTCAACATTGTCTGAAACTCCAAGTAGCGAGATCAAAAAGCCTCAATGCCACAGCAAGGTGGGTGCCCGTTCCAGCTGCTTTGGAACCCACAAGTCCTGTTGCAACTTAAGGGAGGTAAGATGGCTACTGCTTTCCCCTTCTGGGCATCAGGACAAAACAAAGGCAAGATGTTCACTGTCCTCGAGGCATCTTGTCCAGGCTGCAGGATGCTGGCTGGTTCTCCCGCAGGACCACCAGCCAGCTCACACTATCACTGGTAAGACTCAAACACATCAGCCCTCCAAATGCTGAGGGCTGGCGAGAGAAGACCAATTATGTCACACACCCCGAGATTCTGAAGGAGAAGCTTGCAAAAAGCTGTTTGCTATTGTCACAGCCAGAAGGGAGACCTTCTGTGGCTCCACCGTAACTAACAGGCCACCTAACAGCTGAGTGATGGCACTTGCAAACAGCTGATCCGCTCTTCTAGAATGCCCAGTTCAACTAGATTTTCATGTAATTTTAAGTAGGCTTAGAAAATGATCCCTTGCAGTGTTTTAAATGGTGAGTGCAACCAGAGTTTTTATATGGGTGTGGGTGTGTGTATGAAAAGACTCAAATCAAGAACGAAGCACAGGGTACATATCCAGAATGAATCTTATCAAACAGGAGATACAGGTTGCAAGCTGAAGGCAGACAGATACATTGACATGAAAGACAACCAGACCAGAACAATAAGAACAAATTAAACCATTACTCTAATTGGTAAACAGCAACTGATGTGGAAACAGCAGTTCATATCTTTTCTATGGATGTGGCATAAATCTCTTTCCTAGCAATTTTGACCTTTGTTCACACATAGTACTGCTTTATCCATCCATAAATTTTTAATGAACAAGTTCACACTAAACTTTAAAAGTTAAACTGGCTATTACAACCTTTTTAGACATCTAATTTCCTATGCCAGTTTGCTGGAAAAGGTGGTAATTGCATCTTAATCACAAGGTAATGTTATTTTCATGTTCCTTTTTATGTAAGGAAAAAGCCAATTCATGTCCTTTCTATGTTGCATTCATGCTGCTTTCTTAGAAGACAGGTTCAAGGTTTTAAGCCCCCCTTCCCTTGATATTACCACCATCACCAGAGAGCTGTTCTTGTGTGGCTTCTTCCCACCCTCAGCCAGAGAAGTTCCTGTACTATGAGAGGGCTCTGTGCAAATGCCTATCCACTTTAAGGATAAGAGGATATTGTTATGGAACAGAACTTTGCAAAGTTACCATTTTGGCAGGGGGAAGTGCAATATTGCTGTCCAGGCTCACAGGACAACACTGTTAACAGTTCAAGGTGATAACCTTGATAGAGTTGCTCACAGGTGAAGCCAGAAAGGAAAGCAGCAGTCTCAGCCCAGTCCAGATTCAAGATAAGCAGTGTATTTCCATAAATGGTGATGATTACATACCTTCAAGTGAGTGTCAACTCTTAAAAACCACATAGATAGACTTTCTGTAGGAAGATTTGTCCCACTCTGGTCCTTCAGGTTCCATAAATGGTAGCTTTTGAGTTAAAGGATCTGTTATTCAGCTTGATGAGTAATAGAGAAGAGGACAATTTATTTCATATTAATTGTGACTAACGCTTGCCTCGAATGATGTAAGAGATCACAGAAAAGTTATAGAAATGGCAATCCAAGTGCCTAGCATCTGTTTTAAACTAAGCACCCTACCTTAATGTGCATCAGGAATCCAGCACCCAGATGGGTGCTTTGCTGGAACGCATACATAATGGCAAAATATCCAACTTACAAATGTCCAGAAGGATTGAGAATAAACCATGGTTTGCCAGCATTACATGTAGCAACACAGTATCAACCAGGACTCCTTCAGCATGTTCCAGCCAGCTGCAGACCACATTCATTAGGTCCACAGCTGAGGCTGGCCTGGCCCAGTAAGGATTATGAGAGCCAAGCAGGGTCTGAAAGGAAGTTGAAGAAGGTGCAAAAGGTGGGAAATATTCTGTGCTTTCCCTTTGCACTGATTGAGGTCTTTGCCTCTGGATTTTAAGGATCTAGATCAGTCTTCCTCAGTTTGGGAGCCTCCATATTTATGGGAGGGCAGCACTTGTGCTGGATAGGAATTCTGGGAATTTCCAGTTCCAGCACATCTGAGGATGACAACTGGGGAAAGGTGGCCTATCCTTTGGTCTGAGGTTGGCATCAACAGACAAAAGATATTCTTGCTTGAATGTGCATGTAGATGCATTTTCCACTGACAATTTTAAACATTTGGTCCATTGAGCAGTCCATATTTTGCTCATGGAGAAATATGTTTCTTCTCTCCATAGAAGATGGTCCTTATTTCTTTGTTTTGTTGGTAGTGTGAACTCCAGAAGGCTTAACTGTTACTATAACTCCAAAGTAATAGCATTATCAGCTGTTGAGCTTAATACTTTTATTACTTCTTTTTTGTCCCTCAGATACTTTGAATGAAACATAAAACATTTTTGGTTTATCTTTAAAAGAAGTTAATGACTGTACAGTATTTCCTGTGGATACTATGTGTTTGTATTTTAAAAAAATTACTGAGGTCACATTTAGATTTTTATCATGGCTCATGCAAGATAAGCAGATAGTTAAAACTGTAGAAGTTATACTGCTTATTGAAAATAAACTTTTTTTTTAAAAAAGGAAACTCTTTTCAAAAGGCACTGTTTATTTTTATTATTGAAGTATGTTATTATCTATGTTGGAGGCTTCTTTTAAAATAAATGGTGTTCGCAGAATATTAAGATGGTACTATAAATTAATTTGATTTATACAATAGCTACAGCAGAAAGTTGTGTGGAATGCTTTCAAAATTTAAAGATACTGCAGTATTACAGAAGCATATGTTTGTTGCTAAGTTTTGAAGAATGCTAAGTCATCAAAGTCTTCTGTTTAATGTTATGGCTTGAAGCTAGGGAATTTAGTTGAATTATTATTTTCCCATAAAACGTATTTTCCCACGGGCAAGACCTACCAGATCTTGTACCTTTTGAGTAGAGAATCCAGAATTTATAATAAAGCTATTAATCTCTCAGGGCTCTTCCATTCTGTTTATGATGGATATCATACAGATGCACACATGCAGTTCTGAACATTTGATGCTGTAGCTTCAGATTAAATGCATGTTCAATGTGTATTTCTTTGTTTTTTGTAAGTTAGGAAAAACTAAACTTTAGGGATAATCAAAAGTACAGCTTATAGAATGGCTGAAAATATACATGATACATACATTTAATATTCCTCTAAAGCTTTCTGTTCAGTTGGGTTAGGATATCATAGCCTGCCATATTTGTTGGTTATGTAATTCCCAGCTAATATAGCCATTCTATATTACGGTGTTTAGTATTAATATGCAAAGGCTTGGAGTTTTAGAGTCTAGCCATCCTTCCTTCAAATGCATTGAATGAACCATTCGGTAATCTTCATATATTAACCCTGTTAAATAGAAACTGTAATTGTGGAGTGCAGAGGTGCCGCATGTCCTGACACCATTTCTAAGCATAACCCTGGATACTAACTCATTGATACAAACAGATGTCAGAGAGGCACTGTATGGGAGTCAATGCTTCCACAAGAAACCTTACAACCTGGTCTGCAAATTGTTCTCTGCAGGTGTAGGTACCAACTTGTGGACATGTGGTGAATAGGGTCAGTGATATGTCTGGATGTGGGCCAGTAGTGTCGCTCTGTTCCCAAATGGAGGTCATTTCATGCAGTTAACATGTGAAGATAACTCTGGCTGACAAGTAGACACTAGTTCATTGCTATGTGCAAAGTTGGCAAACTACAGTTTAATCTTGTGCATCCTAGTGTAATTGTGATCAACAAAATACCTCTTTATTTGTTTGGTTTTCTGAGGCTCAGTGCATAGGATCAACATGGCATGCTGCAAAAACATCTGATTATGATTTCAGCACCAGAGTAAGCACTGGCTTAGATTTCTGTGATAAATGGGGGGGGGGGGAGCTTTACCAAATGAATTCTGGAAGCAGACAATGTATTTTTAGGAGATATTTGCACAAATATATAATAGTTAAAACACATTTGGCAAAATGATCAATCTAACCACCTTTAAAATACTTATAAATTTATTAA